AGGGTGAACCCTAATTTTGAACTTTGTCACAATCAAAGCCTATATCTACCTTTCTAGAAATTTAATCAGCTATCATTCCCTGTCCTAAGGAACTAGTGCAAACACATGGGAGTCCCTGAGCCTCAGCACCCTTTCTGTCTCTGTGACAGTATCTTCTAGAAGCTCTGCTGTCCATTTTCCTTGTCTGCCTCACTCAGCCAGCTCCTCAGGACATTTAGGGGTGGAGTCCTGAGAGCCCTCAGCTCAGCTGTGAAGATGCCTGAAAGGACCACACTGCAGCCTCAGGGTGGACCCCTGCAGCCTCCAGCAGGGGCAGGGTGTTTCAGTAGCGGGGACACAGAGAAGCAGCCAAGGAACAGAAGACTTCCGTAAAAGAAATGTAAATAACCAGAAAGTAGAAAAACACTCTGGTTCTAAATACAGTTATTCGCTGGTAAAATCTCCATCGGAGACACAGTGACCTTTAAGAGAAAAGATGAGGACGGACTCCTCAAGGTTGTCTTCTGACTCCTCAACTGCATCATGGGAAGAGTTTGCCTTCCCCCAGAAGTGTAGTTTTCTAAGAGCTGTTTTAATGTAACACTCGTCTCTAGTGTTCTAGGATGCCTTTCCTCCTTCCACAGATTGTGAGAGAATGAAACCTGTGTGGCCTATTTCGTGTCACAGTGTGGAGGTCACACGTCATTCCTGCACAGAGCATGTGCTGGCTCTCTTGAGTACTTCTTGCCCTGATAGCTTGTCTCGCCCAGTTCCCAGGGATGTTATTAAGGAGGCATTGTCACACAGTTAAGAGGTAGCCAGACAACCATAGCCTCCCGTGCAGGAAGCAGGGACCAAGTCCTGTTTTGGTTTTGGTTTGTTGGGTTTTTTTGTTTCAGTTTTGTTCTTTTGGCTTTGGTTTTGACCTGTTGTATACACACTCTTATCTTCCTGTAGGAGGATGAGACAAAGCCAGAAGACTGTATACCAGATGTGCCGGGCAATGAACATGCCAGGGAGTTTCTGGCTCATGCACCAACTAAAGGACTTTGGATGCCACTTGGGAGAGAGGTCAAAGTTATGCAGTGTGAGTGTGCAAGGGTTTGAGTGACATCTCTGTGGCAGTCTGTCTTCTGTCACTAAACAAGATACATGAGGGTGGGTAAGTCATGAACAGGCTTATTTGGCCCACATTTCCATGGCTACAGGGTCTACGCAGCACAGCATCAGCATCCTGGCCTATATCCCCTGCTTGCACCATACATGATGGAGGGTGTTCTGAAGGGACACATGCAGGGAGTGACGAAATGGGTGTACAGTCACTCCAGACCTGGCCTACCAACCCATTAGCGAGGATTTAGTCCCCTTGACCAAAACCTGCCTCTAAACTCTAAGCTTCACATCTTGAAGGGTCTCCTACCCTGTACTACCACATTGCTGACCAGGTTTTCAACATGAACTTTTAGGGGACATACCAGATCCAAACCACAGCACGCCTCTGTACACACTGGGTATGTGCTGTACGTGACAGTACCATGGCTCAGCAATTAAAGGCACCTTGTTGCCCTTGCAGAAGACCTGGGTTTGGTTCCCAACACCCACATGATCGCTCACAACAGTCCATAATTCCAGTTCAGAGGCTAGGGTACTTTCTTCTGCCCTCTGAGGACACCAGGCACACAGGTAGTATACATACAGGCAAAACACTCATAGAAATAAATAAGTAAACAAGAAAAGAAAGACTTATGAAGGTTATCTCCTGGCCCATCTTGAGGGACCTCTGTGTGTATTCTTCATTAAATGGACTCCCATTGATGCCATGTTTATGGAGTGTCAGAAGTCCTCTGGTGCCCCCAGCAATGTGTTCTTGTTCATATTTGCATACGGTGATGTACACTTTCTGAAGGAAGGCAAGGTGTCTTGTGTCTGTTTCCTCACAGCCATTTTCCCACTTCGTCACCACATGACAGAAGCTGCAGGTCCTACAAAGCAGACCACGCATGCACAGGAACCTGCATATGTTCCTTGGCTCTGGTGTAAGAAAAGTGGTTCTGGGCCCGGAGAGATGGCTCAGTAGTCAACAACTGGCTGTTTGTCCTGCTTACTTGTCTGTTGCCATGATAAAGCACCATGTACAAGACAACTTAAAGAAGTGTTTAATTGGGGGGCTTTCTTCAGAGTGAGGCTGTGAACATCATGCTGCAGGCAGGTGTAGTGCTGGGCCAGTCGCTGGGAGCTTGTGTCTCATCCACAAGCATGAAGCAGAGAAATTACTAGGAATGGCCTGGGCTCTTGAAATGTCAGAGCCCAACCCCAGTGACCCCACCTAATCCTTCCCAAACAGTTCCACCAGCTGGGGGCAAACTATTCAAACATGTGAGTCTCTGGGGGCCATCCTCATTAAACCAACACGTTACTCTTCCAGAGGATGGGGATTCCATTCTTAGCATCTTCATGACAGCTCACAACCGCCTCTAACTCCAGTTCTGGGAAATCCAGTGACTTCTTCTGGCCTCCCTAGGCACCAGGCGTGCATGTAGTGCATAGACAGACAGACATGTAGGCACAACACCTATATACATAAAATAATAACATAAAACATTGAAGAAATATATAAAAGAAAAATGGTTCACAAAGTGCTAAGCCTACCAATCACAACCCCCGCTCCCCATCCAATCGCCATCTGTGTCTGTGTTCTCTGTGGTACACTATCTCACTTGTGCAAAATGTGCCCTCTGCTGCTGAGCTGTCACTAGTCCCTTAGGCCTGCCAACACAGCTCTGCATTCAGGTTCTCATTCATACTGTGTGTGTGTGGGGGGGGGGGTCCTAAAAGCGCACTACTGATAGCACATCCTTCCTGCTGTCACTTTTACTGCGGACTGCACTTGGAATTACAAGGATCATCTTTTTGGCTTGTTGTCGTTTTGAGATGCCATCTCCTTAGAAAGCCCAGAGTGGCCTTGAATTAGCAGTCCTGTTTTGTCAGCTTCCTGAGTGCTGGGGTCTTACGGGTCTGCACCACCTCTGTGCCAGCACATCACCTTCACTTTAAGATGATTTTGAGCAAAACTAATACGTACTTGGATGTGTGTATATCCAGCCATGCTCCTTGGCATTTCACATCCCCTAAGTCTTGCTGACATATAGCATTAGTGTAGGATGTAGTCATTCTTCCGGAGGCTGTTTTGGATGAGTGAAGGGGAGGTTGAGACAGGATCCCTTGCCACAGCACTTGTTAGCCTGGATCTCCAGGTAGGCCTGCCACATCCTCCCTAGTACTAGGACTCTAGGTCTGTCCGTCTTTCTATAAGTTAAAGTGGCAGGTACACAGGAGGACAGGAATCCCCAACACCCATGCAAAACGATGGAAGTGGCTGTCCACGTCTGTAGCTCCGGCATACCAGGAATCCCATTAGATGGTGGAGACAGAGCCTCAGAACTTGTTGGCCAGCCAGCCTCGGCCAAACAGCAAGTTGGTGGTAAACCCTGTCGGAAGGGACTAAGGCAGAGAACTGATAGAGGAGGGTACATGACTTCCTGTCTGGCCTTGACTTGAGTCTCATGCCCTCACACATGCACATGCCACAGAGGACATTACTCCCTTTTACAACATGCTTTCTGTAGTTGCTTAGCATGGACCAAAGGAGCTCATCTTTGCAGCACTCCTGCTTCCTGATCTCCTTGGTCAGCACTTAAGAACAAGTGTCTCGTGCTCACGTCCCCAGGCAGCTGCCTGGTTTGCCTCAGATCTGGATGGAATGAAAAGACGTCAGGGCACTACTGGGACCCCAGCACAGCTTCACACACCTCAAGCTGCCACACCTAATGCCACGGCCACGTTCAGTGGAGTCCTTTGAGTGGATGTTTGCTTTGGTTGACTTGAAGCATGTACATATGTGTTTGTTACACCGATTCCTCGACCCAAACCTCTTTAAACACAAACCCTTTCTCTCTTTCTCAGGTTAAGTTACACAGTTCTAATGACACAACATTTTAAGAGAATCTCTGCTCTTGCTTAAAAACAGAGCTCAAGCTGGAGAAGCAGCTCCACACAGCCTGCATGCTGCTCTTGCAGAGGCCCGTAGTTGAGTCCCTAGCACCCACACCAGGTGACTCACAACCACCTGTAACTCCAGCTCAGAGGATCCCACGCCCTCATCTGGCCTCTTGAGTCAGTGCACTCACGTGTACAAATGCACGCTCAGATACACACACACACATAATTTAAAAATAATTAAAAAAAAAAAAAACCAGAGTTAAGTGTTCCGGTGCATGCCTTTAAGTACCGCAAGTGAGAGGCAGGCGGTCTCGGAGTTTAAGGCTAGCCATGGTTACACAGTGAGACTCTGTCTTTAAAAAGAGAAAAAAATGAGGCTTCCTAAAGCTTGATATAGTAGTGTGTGCTGGAAATCCTGGCATGTCAGAGGCAAGTATCACTTAAGTCTAGAAATTTTGAGCCTGGACTCTGTAGGGGGCTGGGGTGGGGACTTTGTACATGGTTTACTCAACCTAAGATACTATTGTAGTGGAGCTGGAGATTTTACCCAGAGCCATTTCACAAACAAAGGATTCCCTCTGCTCCCCTTTTAGCTGTTTTCGTGTGTCTGTTTGTGCTTGTATGAGTTCATGTGCTCCACCTGCATACAGCAGCCCGTGGAGCCAAAAGAGGGCAGTAGATCCCCTGGAACTGGAATTGTAGGTGGTTGTGAACCGCCATGTAGGTGCTGGGAATCATGGCCTACCCTCTCTCCAGCCCCTGCTGTACTCTGAAAAGTGGAGTGAAATACACTAAGAGCATTGGATTGCTTCATAAATATTGATGATGGAACATTTACTCCTAACTTCACAAGATTCAAGGAAGCAATTAGTTACCCTTCATTATTTTCTGGGACCTTTGTGTTTTCATCCATTAATCCTTTGTGTTTTAGAATTGGAGTCTAATGAAAACATTAATCTACTGAAACGTTATCTCAGTGAGGTGAAACCATATTTTACAGAGTTGTTTTTCTTTGGCTTTAGGTTGGCGTTGCAAACGGTATGGCCATCGAACAGGCGACAAAGAATGCCCTTTCTTTATCAAAGGCAACCAGAAGTTGGAACAGTTCCGAGTTGTAAGTAAACCCTGCACTATCAATATTAACGTTATCACAGATGGTGAATGATAGGAGATAGGTAGTCACTAGTGAATGTGTGCTCTATAAGTACATACACCCCTGTTATGCATTTGCGACAGATAACCTCTTTAACAAAAAGCTAACTGGGGGCTGGATATGTAGCTCCTATGGTAGAGTGCTTGTGTAGCATGCACAAAGCCCTTGTTCCAGCTCCAGCACCACCTAAAGCAAGCATGATAGTGCATACCTGTAACGCCATCACTTGGGAGGTAGGGACAGAAAGACCATGAGTTCAAAGTGAGCCTTAGCTACTGAGTGAGTTTGAGGCCAGCCTGGGCTAAATAAGGCCCTATCTCAGAAGGGAAAAAAGAAAATGGAGAAGACTCCTATTCAGATGCTCTATTTAACAGGTCCGCAGTCTGGCGTGGAGAACTGAAAGTTCAAGACTAACCTGAGCAGCTTAGTGAGCGCTTGTCTCGATTGAGAAAGGAGGTTTCCAAGGGCTGGAGGTGGATACAGACGGCTTGGTGGTGGATGCTTGCCTAGCATGTGCAGAGTCTGAGTTCAGTCCACAGCACTGCAGAAAAAGAAAACCAAAGACAGATAGATACTCTTACTTAACCTGAGGAACAGTGACTCACTTTCTCAACCCAACACCATGTATTCAACCCTTCTTTGTAGTTTACGGTATATAAATTCACGTTTATTACTCAGCCGAGGGATTACCTACCCATGGAAACTTAGATGTGTCTTGTGAACTGGAAATGTGTGTTTACTAAGATGACCATCTCCCATTATACTTTCATGAGTCACGTCTTAGAGGTGTGCATTCACATCCAGGAACTAATTCTGCCAAGTAAGGCCCAGCCTGTGAATGTACTAAGGTTATCAGTGTGTCCAAACTGAGGCCAACGGGGCCAGGTGGTGAGCCAGGTCTGCAGTCCAGCTCCTGAGAAACAGCGGAAAGACCTTGTGTAAGGTCAGGTTGGAGCCCGTAGCAACAGCCTATCTCACAAAACAAAACATCAGTACACATCCTCCAGGGACTAGGGAGATGGCCTAGTGGATAATATTGTTCGCCAAGCAAGCAAGGAACAGGAGTGTGACTCTCCGTCATCCCTGCAAATGCTAGGTGGGCATAGCAGCCCACCAATGCCAGCCCTCAGAGGGTAGAAGGGGATCCCCGAGGAAACTAGCTGGCTAGACTAGCTGTCTTGGGGACTCTGGGTTCAATTGAGATACCTTGCCTCAGTGAATAAGATGGAGGACACTGGGGAAAGATTCCTAAAGTCAGCCATGGGTTTTGGCGTTCACATATGCGCACATGCATGCGTGCATGCGTGCGTGTGCGTGCGCGCGCACACGCACGCACGCACGCACACACACACACACACACACACACACAAACAGGTGCACCTATATACACATGCAAGAACCCAAGCAAATAAAATTATCCAGAAATGTAGCCAGAAGTTTTTCTGTCCCACCCGGCCCCGCAGTCCATAGCCACTTATAAAATAATTACACAGAGGCTTATATTAATTACAAACTGTATGGCCTGTGGCTTCAGCTTCTTGCTAGCTAGCTCTTTCATCTTAAATAAACCCGTTCCTATTAATCTGTATGTGGCCATGGTGATACTGGTCTGCTGGCATCTTGTTGCCCCTTCAGCTGCGGGCTCCTGACTCCACCCTTCTCTCTGTCTCTCCCTGGACTTCCCACCTGGCTGTTAGCTTTCTTGCCATAGGTCAAAACAGCTTTATTTATTATCCAGTGGGAGCCACACACACACACACACACACACATATATACATATATATGTATGTATGTATGTATATGTGTGTATATATATGTGTGTGTGTGTGTGTGTGTGTGTGTATGTGTGTGTGTGTGTGTGTGTGTGTGTGTGTGTGTGTGTGTGTGTGTGTGTATGCATATATATGTCACAGTATACAGAAGGACATCCCACAGCACAAAAAGGAAATGAATAATGAAAATGGTTTAGACTCTGTGCGATGCTAGAGCTTGGGCCCGGGGCCTCCTGCATTTTGGGGGAGCACTCTGCCCTCCCTGCAGTCCCAGCCATGGAATTATGATGCTGAAGACTGGAGACTGTTAGGGGAAGGGTTCATGAAAACCTAAGGAAACAACCTGTGGTTGGCGTGGAGTCTGTACCGGTAGTCCCATCACTCAGAGGCCAGGCACTCAGTCTCTGAGCTTGAGGCCAGCCTGGTCTCTGTAGCAAGTTCTGGGCCAGGCAGGGCTACACAGTGAGACTCTATCTTTAACAAAACAAACAGACAAAAAGTTGCATGTATCTTATGGCTCAAATTCTTTATAAAAGGTACCAAAAAGTAGCCGGGCGGTGGTGGCACACACCTTTAATCCCAGTACTTGGGAGGCAGAGGCAGTTGGATCTTTGTGAGTTCAAGGCCAGCCTGGTCTACAAAGCAAGTTCCAGGACAGCCAGGACAGAGAAACCCTGTCTCAAAAAATTAAAAAAAAAAAAAATATATATATATATATATACCCAAAATTAACAGTAATTATGCCTGGTTGATGAGAGAATAATTTTTAAGTTTATTTTTACATATTTATTTGCTCTCTACCAGCTGAGCCACACCCCCAGCCTGTGTTTCTAAGTGCTTAGACTTTGAGTAGTGGTTCTACCAGTGGTCGGTTCTGGACTGGGTGTTTATTGAGATCTTTCTTTTTCTCAGCATTCTTTCCCAGTTTTTCTTGACATTGACTGTGTGTGTGTGAGTTTGCATGTGGAGGTGGGACAGCCTGAGAGAGTTAGTTCTCTCCTACCCCTGGACTTTAGGGGTCAGACTCAGGTGGCCAGTCTTGTTGACAGGTGTCTTACCCACCGAGCCACTGGCCCCACTTCTGTGTTCTTAGCTTGTGAGTAGAGGCACTTGCTGCCAAGCCTGCTGGCCTGAGTTTGAGCCCCAGGACCCACATGGTGGAAGGAGAAAGAGACTTCTGAAAGTTGTCCTCTGACTGCCATGAGCATACAGTGGCACACAAGAAAATGTGCACACACACACACACACACACACACACACACACACACAATAAATGTTAAAATAATAATAATGAGGCTGGAGAGATTGCTCAGTGGTTAAAGGCACTTGGCCGCTCTTCCAAAGGACCCAAATTCAGTTCCCAGCACCCATATCAGGCAGCTCACATCTGCTGTAACTCCAGTTCCAGGGTATATGACACCCTCTTCTGGCCTCCATGGCAGCCCCACATACATAGCATACATTCACACATGCACTTAAATAAAAACTAAAATGCTGTTTAAAATATGACATAAAAGCACACACAGATTTGCAAAGAACAAGAGTATGTTATCAAATCAAAGCAACAGTACACATTAGGAAAGAATCTACTGTTAAGATTGGCACAGGACAGAGTGCTGGGATTAAAGGTGTGTGCTACCACCGCCCGGCTCATCTTACAAGTTTTAAGGTAAGTTTTTTGTTACAGATTTTACAGATTTTTTTAAAATCATACCCAGTGAACTTACAAATCCTAAAATACAAAAAATTTCATAAAATGAGCTTACAAATCCTGAGATTAAAAAAAAAGTATACTTTAGCAAAAGTTTTAGCGATAGATATAAGAGAGACGTTATTTAGAGTTAAACAAAACCAAGAAAAGGAATGTGAGATAAGCAGCCATGATCCCTATTGGGAATAGTTTCCTTTTAGCTGTTTTTAAGCATATGGTATCTTTTTATAGGCTGTTCGATTTTTCTCCTCTTTCTCCTATCATAGGGTCAGGTGACCACTGTGGGAGGCAAGGAGGTCCTTGTGCTCACAGATAAGCACTAGGGGAACCAAGAATGTTAAACACAGTTGTCCCTTCAAAGGAAGGGATGCATCAGCTGTTATCCACCCAGAAGGCTGGGAGCATGTGGGGTTAATAGCCTGGTGACCTTTGTGCTCTCTCTGGCTTCAACCATACCAGATCCTCCTCAAGACCCTTATTGTGCTCTCTCTGGCTTCAACCATACCAGATCCTCCTCAAGACCCTTATTATGAGCTTGCCAATCTATAGAACCCATCTCTATGGAGGTGTCACACATACTTTACAAAGAGTTTTGATGTAGTCCATCTATCTTTTATTTGGTTTACTTTGTATTTTATTGTACACATGGGATTGAGTTAATTATCAGCAGGAAAGTTGTCCCAAAATTGTTCTGTGCTTAAAATATTTATGCCTAAAATAAACTACTCAGTATCAGAAGAAAAAAAAAAAAAAAGATTGGCACAGGAGAGCTGGCCATGGTGGCACACCTTTAATCCCAGCACTCAAGAGGCAGAGGCAAGCATATCTCTGAGTTCTGGGCCAGCCTGGTCTACATAATGAATTCCATGCCAGCCAGAGCTATGGAGTGGTCTTGCCTGTGGCTTCTTTTTATAGGGTTTAAAGGGTTTGGGTCACTAGGCATAGAGTGATTCTCTATTTTGATTGATAGATTTAGTTATATAGCCATTTTCTTTTTACTGAACTTGTCCCTTCCCATAATGCATCTGATTTGATCATATGCACATGCATTATACATAGGCATGAGATACTAACTAAGCAGTCTCCCTAAAAGTTCACTTAGGGACTGGGCATAGTGGCACACACCTTTGATTCCAGCACTTGGAGGCAGAGGCAGGCAGATCTCTGTGAGTTTGAGGCCAGCCTGATCCACAGAACGAGTTCCAGGACACCCAGGGCAGAGAAACCTTGTCTCAAAAAAAAGAAGTTTTTCCTTTCTAGGCACAACTGGATCTCTACATTTATACCTTCACATTAGATAGACTCTGTGTGTGCTTGGAGGTCACTGGAGAAGAGGAACGTACTTCATTGTTTAGAGTAGGGGTGTGTGCATAGGCTGGCAAACATAGCCCAAAACAAGGGGCGTCCCAGGTTTCTAAACTAAGCTCTATGCTTGGCTGCCTCAAAGGTGGTATCTTATGCCTGTAATCCCAGCATCCAGGAGAGGCAGAATTACCTGAAGTTAGAAGTCATTATTAAAGTTTTTAAAGATTTATTTATTTTTATTTTATGTAAGGGTGTTTTGCCTGCCTGTCTGTGCATCACATGCCTGTAATGCCCAAGGAGGCCAGAAGAGGGCATCAGAGCCCCTGGAACTGGAGTTGCAGAGGGTGGTGAGCTATTAATGTAGATGGATGCTTGGACTAGAAACCATGTCCTCTGGAAGAGCAACCAGTGACCATCTTTCCAGCCCTCCTGTATTTCTTTATATGGAATATTTAGTTACTTCCTGTATATTCTAATTGGAGAAGTATTTTATATCCTTAAAGTGTTTACAGTAATAAAGCCTGGGTATGGTGGCACACAGCTATAATCCCAGCATTCAAGACTGTAGCAGAAGGATTGCCATGAGTTAGAGTTCAACCTGGTCTACATAGTGAGTTCCAGGTCAGCAAAGAACTGTGACAAAACATAGTGAGACTCTTATCTCCAGCAGCCAAAAAACAATAATAATTATAGTCCTTCAAAGGGATTAAATATGTTGTACGGTGGGTGTGGTGGGGTTTGCTTGGGATCCCAGCACTTGGGAACCGAAGCAGGATTGACAGAGTATGAGGTGACCCTGTATGGCAAGTGAGACCTTGTCTCAAAATGAGCTGGTAACGAAAGGCTTCGTCCAGCACTTCAGCGGGTGGAAGCAGGAGCATCAAGACTTGAGGGTCAAGGTTGTCCCGAGTGTCATAGAAGGTTCACAGCTAGCCTGAGCTACGTAGTAAGATCTTGTCTGATTGAGAGAAGAAACACAGATGCTGATCTAACATCAGGCTACAGGAAGCTAACTGTAGCCCCGGCACTGAGGAGGCCGAGGAGGAAGATGAGAAATTCTGGCCAGTCTGAGCTCCACAGCCAGTCTGAAGGCAGTCAAGGCTAAACAGTCTCAAACTTAACAAAAAATCCACATCAAATGTGGTGTCAGTTCATAGAAGTTTAATTTTTACATCATAAAGCAGTCCATGATTACTAACCAAAACATAACCTTCTCTCACTCTTAAGGCACATGAAGATCCCATGTATGATATCATTCGAGAGAATAAGAGACACGAAAAGGATGTAAGGTAAGGCTGTCTCATTGCTACCAACGTCCTCTTCAGATCTGAAAGTGCACAGTGTTAGAAACAAGTGTTCTGATATGTGGGGACAGTTTATAACCCCAGCACGTTAACTGAAGAGCTACCAGAGCAAGATTGATCGCCAAACGGAGGTGTTGGGGTAATGAGTAGGCCAGCTTCTCCTACAGTTCCCTGAATAAGCAGCAGGCATGCCTTGACATCACATTGTGCTATATCTTTGGGGGGTGGGGTGTGGGGGGAGGGGGTAGTGTTGTTGCACAGTGTCTCACCATGAAGCTCAAGCTGGTCTCAGATTCTAGACCTGGCTGTGTCGGCCTAAGGAGTGCTGAGATGACAAGCCTATGGACAAGGCAGGGGGCAGGGGATGTAGTTTTCTTGGTAGAGTACTTCCCTATCATGCATGAAGCCCTGGGTTTGGTTTGATCCCCAGAATTGCACATACCAGGTGTTACGTTGTACACCTATATCACTTAGGAGGTGCAGGCAGGAGGATGAGAAGTTCAAGATCATTCTTGATGACATAGGAGTTGAGGCTACCCTAGAACACATTGGGACCCTGTCACCAAAACCAAAAAGGTTTTCTAATTGGTTGTATTGTAGTTCTTGAGGAGCTGCATTACTAAGAACAGCGGTGGGAATGTTTCAGTAGATGGACTCACTAGACATTATAAGGGCTATGGGAGTATGCACAGATCTTTAAGACAATGAAGAGGGCTGTCTTCAGCGAGGTAGTTAGTCGTGATTCCCCGGCTCACTGCTGCTCTTAAGTGAAATGTTGTGATGAATCTGTTTAGGATCCAGCAGTTAAAGCAGTTACTGGAGGACTCTACCTCAGATGAGAGCAGCTCCAGCTCATCAGGCAGAGAGAAGCGCAAGAAGAAGAAGAAGAAAGAAAAACACAAGAAAAGGAAGAAGGAGAAGAAAAAGAGGAAGAAACGAAAGCACAAGGCTTCCAAGTCCAGTGAGAGTTCAGACTCAGAGTAACAGCTGATGGCAGACTCTCAAAAACACCCACAGGCCAAAGAGCAGCCATCCCTGAGAGCAACGGGACAGGGCAGGAGGGGACACCTGGTACAGCGGCGGACTCTCACCACCTCCTGGTACCAAGTGACCACCACAGGGCAGGCGGGCTCCCAGGTGCGGCTGCCAGCAGCACCTGTGTCCTCTTGCCTGCTGGTGACGTGTCTGTGATTGCTGTAATAGGCTGGCCACCTGAAGGGGACGGTGACCAGGAAACTCGTAGGAAACACTCTAGGGTGCTGCCACAGCATTTGCCCTCCATGGTGTGGCAGCTCAGTTCCCACGAACTTCAGGCTTGACCTTCTCTGTGGTTCGAGATAATAAAAGTTCATGATTTATTTTTTAAATGTAGTCATTATTAATTCAGACTGGTAGTCCAAGTCTAAAAGCTACATACTCCTTTTTTACCCCCATTCCAGTTGGCCTACCACTTTACATTGGACCTTTTTATAGATATCTCATGTAGACCTAGGTGTTTGAATATGCTTTCAATTCTATCTCCGGGAGACTGATAAAGGAAGATTGCTGAGTTCACAGCTAGCCCAGGGTTAAGCGGCAAGACCGTATCTTTAAAGAAAAAGAGAAAAGGATCATGTGCCATCAATGTAATACATAAGGTGTTGTTTTGTTTCATTTTGAGACAGGGTCTGACCATAGCTCTGTCTAGTCCGGAGCTGGCTATGTATACAGGTTGGCTTTAAACTAGTGGAGATATGCTTGCCTCTGCCTCCCAGATGCTGGGATTAAAAGCATGTGCTACCATGCCAGGGGTATATAGGACTTCTGTGTGTTCGTGTGTGTGTGTGTGTGTGTGTGTGTGTGTGTGTGTGTGTGTGTGTGTGTACATGTATGAGGGCGTGCGTGTATGTGTGCATGTGTAGGCCAGAGGACAACCTCAGGTGTCATCCCTTTGGTGTCCTTTTCTCTCAGAGTCCCTCACTAGCTGGCAGCTCACCAAGAAGGTTAGGCTGGCTGGCCAGTGAGGCCCAGCACTCACCTGTCTTCTCCTCCCCAACACTGAACCTACAGATACACACCGCCACACTTGGCTTTTTTCACATGGGTCTTGATGACCCTTGCAAGGCAAGCTCTTACAGACTGAACTAACTGTATCTCCAGCCCAGGGCTTCTTATGTACAAATGGCTTTATATGCTAACCGTCATGTTATAAATAAGAGTCTGAAATGGATGCTTATAGTATCAAGTACTTGCTGCCATGTAAAGCGCAGGCCTGAGTGGTCCTCCTGTTACTACCCAGCCTACTCTGCCTAATTTCCAGTAAATTCCATTCTGTAAAAACAACCGAACAAGCTGGGCATAGCGCTGCACACCTTTTGTCCCGGAACCCAGAAGGAAGAGGTGTAAGCAGAAACCTGCGGTGAAGGCCAGCCTGGCTGCCAAGGGAGACCTGGTCTTAACAAAATGTACGTACCCTGTTGTTGTTTATTAACTTGAGAGTGGAGTTTCCTGTAACAATGGAACATGTGTGTCCCTGTGCTGTACTTACTGTATCTCATGGTCCCAAGATCTTCACAGAGGCACTAACCCAGAAAAGGGCCGGAAATAAAGGGAAACATTAGACTGAGTACCTAGCTACATCACAGAATACATCTATAAATTCCTACTCACATTGCATAAAACAACCCACCCATGCACCCGTAGTGTAGACTGAGCTGTAGCAGAGGTCAGCGGTGTTCCTACAAGTAGAGAAGTTATATGTTGTTTTGTTGAGCCAAAGCCTGTACACACTTTTTGGTATTTCATGACAGGATTTCTCAGTGTAGCTCTGGCTGTCCTGGAACTCCCTCTGTCGACCAGGCAGGCCTTGAACTCAAGGATCTACCACACATGGCTTGCACATGCACTTGAACAGCTGAGCCATTTCTCTAGTCCCTACGTATCAAGTCTTAAAGAGGTTTAGGGTAGGAGGGAGATAGAGAGGTCTTTGCTCACAGGTAAGCAATAGGGGAACCTAGAATGATAGCGCACCAGGTGGTTCTTTCAAGGGAAGGAGTGAATTACCTGTTATCCACTCAGAGGCTGGAGTGACATGCTTTCTAGCCTGGTGACCTTTGCACAATCTGTGTGCCAGAGACTATGGCATCCCCTAGACCCTTACTGTAAATTTGTTTTTCTCAGTCAATCTATAGAACCTACCTTTATGGACTTTACAAATAGTTTTGATGTAGTCACATCTGATCTAATTTAGCTTACTTTGTCCTCAAGGAGATTTATGTATGCTTTGTTGTGCATGCAAGCTTGAGTTAATCAGGACCAGCATAAGTTTTCACTGAATTGTGCTATGCTTAAATATGCCTAAAATAAACCACTCGGTGTCAGATTCCAGAAGTTAGAACCAACGCTGGCTACTGAGTCCTGATGAACCAATATGCCTTCTTGCCTCCCACAGATTGTCTTTCTGTAACCCATAAAGGTCACAGAGACAACTTCCTAACACCCCCCACAAACACAACACAGTCTGGGGTGGGCTAGAGAGATGACACAGTGGTTAAGAGTACTTGTTGCTCTTGCAGAGGACCAGGATTTGGTGTACATAGTGGCTCACAGACAGGGATCCGATGCCTTCTGAGCTCTGGGCACACCAGTGCTACACATACATACATGCAGGCAAACATTGCTACATACAGAATAAATAAAATATTGAGTCAGGTGTGGTGGCACATGCTTTAATAATCCCAGCACTCAGGAGGCAGAAGCAGTTCATCTCTGAGTTCAAGGTCAGCCTGATCTCCATAGCAAGTTCCAGGCCAGTCAAGGCTACATAATGAGACCCTGTCTCAAAATAAATTAAATACGATTTGATTTGGGGGCAGGAGAGATGGCTTAGTGGTTAAGGAGTACTTGCTGCCTTTTCAGAGGACTCAGTTCATTTCTGGGCTTCCACATCGGGCAGTTAACAACTGTAATTCCAACTCCAGAGAGATCCAACAGCTCTGACCCTGAGGACACCTGCATGCATGTGCACACAGCCACATACAGATACACAGAGTTGATATTTTTATTTTAAAGTGGGGGTTGGAGCAGCAGTTAAAAGTACTAGCTACTCTTCCGGAAAGCCCAGGTTTGATTCCCAGCACCCACATGGTGGCTGCAACTGTCTGTAACTAGTTCTGGGCATCCCACAGCCCTTTTCTGCCTCCAGGGCAACAGCTATACAAGTGGTCCACAGATACACAAGTAGGGGAAACACCTGTGCGTGTAACATTTAAGGGCTGGAGGGATGGCCCAGTGTTTAAGAGCATGTGCTGCTCTTACAGAGGACTTGAGTTTGGTTCCCAGCACCCACAAGGGCCTGGAACTCCAGCTCAAGGAAATCAGGCTCCCTCTTCTCCCTCTGCAGATGCACTCACATGTTTATCTCCCCCACCTCCTCTCTCTCTCTCTCTCTCTCTCTCTCTCTCTCTCTCTCTCTCTCTCTCTCTCTCTCTGTCTCTCTGTCTCTCTGTCTCTCTGTCTCTCTCTCTCTCTCTCTCTCACACACACACACACACACACACACACACTCGTGGGCACATGCACATAATTAAAGGTAAAATCTTTAAATAAAAAATTTCAATTACTTAAAGTTCAAAGTTAGTAATGGTAAAAAATGTGTCTGTGATCATGAGGAGGTGGGAGCAGGGGGTCAGTTCAAGGTCATCATCCTCTGAAACACACCCAAGTTTAAAGCCAGCCTGGGTACATTTTTTTCTTTCAGGGAAAAAAAACATCCCCCAAAATTAAAGGAAAGTGGTTCGGGACTGGAGACAGCGTATAATGGTACAACCTTAGTTTGGCTCCCAGCCCCAGGAAAAGGATCAGGTAGAGGTGGTTGGATAAAATAGGTATGAGGACCAGTGCCGGGGAATGGCTGAAACAGGCATGTCTTGGGCTCACTGGCCAGGCAGTCTAGCAGTCTGTGAGCTCCAGATTCAGTAACAACCCTGTCTCAGAGAGTGAGCTAGAAATGCTGGCACTTGGGATGCAGAGGCAGGCTGTGAGTTCTGAATTCCAGGCCAGCCTGGTCTACAGTTAAGTTCTAGGGCTACACAGTAAGACCCAACAGTGACTTCTGGACTACACAGAGCACACAGGTGGTCAAACACTGGCACACACACACGTGTGCAAACACTTGTCACAGAGACACACATAAGGCACACACACATCACACCATGTAGGTTGATGACCCCACAAATTCAACCGACAGCTGAGTTCACAAAGCCAACTAGCAGAATGTGCTAGTCTCCCGTTCATGCTTTAGTCCTCACATTTCCAGACTGCATCCCTCTCTTTGCCAGTCTTTATGTCTACATTCACCAGAACACCCTACCAACCATCATCACGGCTGTGATGTGCAGAATGCTGACACTGGACCCATTCTCTTCCCTTCATTCTCAGAACTGCTGCTGGGATGGATTTCTCTCATGAGGCAACACTTGTAAGAAGAGGTAGTCCAGGAGTGTCTAGCCAAATCCCAGAGGAAGTTAGACGCCAAACCAAGGGAACATTTCACATGCCAGTATTGACTTTGGTAAACAAAAGACATGCCATACAGCAAGAAATGCTAGATTCCTTTTTTTTCACTTTTTTAAATTTATTTTTCTATTATCAGCTTGATACAGTATAAATTCTTATCCTAATTGTGAAATGTTTCATTGAGGCTTGCCCAGTAATTGAGTGAAACCAAAACTTATTATAAGCCACAGTCATCCTAGGGTCCCCCCTGCTAGGTAGCCTCCCTGGATCTGTGGGTTGCAGTCTGATTGTTCTTTGCTTTATATCTAGAATCCACTTATGAGTGAGTACATACCATATTTGTCCTTCTGGGTTTGGGTTACCTCACTCAGGATGATTTTTTTCTAGTTCCATCCATTTGCCTGCAAATTTCATGCTGTCATTGTTTTTCTCTGCTGAGTAGTACTCCATTGTGTATATGTACCACATTTTCTTAATCAGTTCTTCAGTTGACGGGCATCTAGGTTGGTTCCAGGTTCTGGCTATTACGAATAGTGCTGCTATGAACATAGTTGAGCATGTATCTTTGTGGTATGATTGAGCATTCCTTGCTTATATGCCCAAGAGTGGTATGGCGGGGTCTTGATGTAGGTTGATTCCTATTTTCTGAGAAACCTCCATACTGATTTCCACAGTGGCTGTACAAGTTTGCACACTCACCAACAATGGAGGAGTGTTCCTTTTGCTCCATATCCTCTCCAACATTGACTGTCATTAGTGTTTTTGATCATAGCCATTCTGACAGGTGTAAGGTGGTATCTCAGAGTCGTTTTGATTTGCATTTCTCTGATGACTAAGGGTGTTGAGCATTTCTTTAAATGTCTTTCAGCCA